AAGTGGTAGGATGTAGGCAGAACAAGCCTGAGACCTGAGATCTGAAAAGAGTTTCGGAAAAAATTACTGAAAAGCTATAGACCTCGCTACAAAAGTAGATGCCACGTATTTCGGTGATAAAAAAATCAAAACGGATAGGGAAAGAATCTGAATGTTCCAGGACCCCAACAAAGAAAAAAATTCCAAAAACAATTGGTCGAAAAGAGTTTGTATCGTGGACAGCCACAAAGAGAGAAGCAAACAACCTCTTTCATAAAAATGGATTCCTAGTGCTGCGAGAGAGACAGATCACCTCAAAAAGGCAGCAATGACTTTGATACAATGTTGAAGTGTGTAAACAACTTAAGTTATTAGAGAGAGCACACTTTTATTTACTTAATTATGTTGTTAACAACAAGACAACAGATTCAACGATTGAGATGCCAATTTAATTAAAGCATAAATGTATAGTATTGCGGTAAAAATTGGCTAGCACAACCACTTTTTGGGAACTTTAGCTAGTATATAAAATGTAATGAGAAAATAACACTCTTTAGTGAGAAATGTTTTTAGATGAAAATACCCCTACTTAAAACAGGACGAATTCTAAGAACGATTAGTGGAGTTTGAATATTTATGAGTTCAAACTCCAGGAATAATTCATGTACTTTGAAATCTACAGTTAAAACTCCTTGAATGATTCCCAGAGTTTGCAAGTCCATATATGCACTCGATAACCTTCAAAGTTTTCATGGTAGATGCCCGGATTTATTTGGTGTTGCTATTTGAAATTCAATTAGTTTTTAAATTGAGGAGGTAAGATCGATTTTTTCTACGGATTTAAACTTGTGGAGGAAAATTTTGGGATTCTATTGCAGGGTCTTTCTAAGGTCGAACCTAGTGCTAGAAAAATCTAAGTTGCTGCTCAGTTGAAGCTAAAATCATATGGGCATTGACATATCGTAAATAAAGTCGACTAAGTATTTCCATCGGGACTGACAGGGCTCGAACCCGTAGCTTCTGCCTTGACAAGGAGATGCTCTGACAAATTAGACTATAATTACAGGAGAATACGAGATTTAGCAGAAAATTAATTTTTTTTTATCTATGGATCGAGTATTTCTGAACTAAAAAGGGGGGTCACTTTTTGGTGTGTACTTCCCCTAACTACAGAGTAGATCCACCAGACAAAAACCCCAATTTCGCACTGCTATTGAGTCATTGGACTTATCCATAAGGGATTCAAATTGCTGATTATTTTAACTTTGATGATTATTGATATTTAAAGAAAAACAAAGAAGAAGAAATTCAAAATGTTAAATGCTGGTTTTCAAGTAGCGAATTTGGTAATTGCATTAGGTTACAGAATCATAGTTGTTGGTATTTAACTATTATAGCTACTGAAATCAATGGGAAAACCCAATGTGAAGTCAAGTTTGTTTATATTTGTTGGGTCCAAAAGTACACGCAAGTATACGCGGTCGACAAGTAATAAAGTGATGAGAAAGTATCGTTCCCATGAGAATTTATGATCAACTATTGTCCAATCTAAATTATTTATAAATTTATTGCTCAAGTGGTCATGAAGAAAATGATAGTAATTTTTATTAACTAAATTACTACGAAACTAATAAGCAAACAAGAAAATACGATCGCAAGTCGGTTGATGTAATCACTTAACATATCTAATTTGTTGAGGTCTTTCAACGCTTCGCTCGCCTATTAAAGCCAACCTAAGACTATATGCCTATAGAATTAAAATTGACAAGAACGCATGTATATTTCTTGCAAGAATAACCAAGTAAGGCAACTAGAATATATCTATCATAATCGCGAATCTATTCTCCGATGACCAGATTCAAGAAGTTACTCTACTCAATCTTATATGCAAACTATAAATCCCACTTTCGAGTTCAACTATAAATTCTTAGATAGTACTCTATTGTTAGCTACGCAATAGAATAATTAAGTGTAAGATTGAATAAACAAATTAATATGATAGAATCAAGCAATACAATCAACCGTCAAATTACAATAGTTAAACACGACCCATAACCCTAGAATAATGAGGTTCTTAGCCACCCATGATAAAGTTAAACAATTTCATAAGTGTTGAATAGTTGAAAATACTAAGAAAGATGAAGAAAAACTAAGAATCCTTGCTCCCGAGTGTTCCATGCTTGTGTTTTGCTCTCAAAATTGTGTCTCTCCCTCCAAAATAGGTTTAGACTTTTTTTTATATGAGATGGGGGTGTGTAGAGCTGAAATAACTTTATCCCGCGCGAAATAGGAGACTTCCCGTCACCCAGCACCCAGGGTAGCGTGATAATAGGCAATATAGTTGTTATTTACACCATAATTGCCCATGCTTTGTTGTTGTTTTATAATGTAAGTTGCCAATAAAATGCTTTAATTAATGCTATATGGTTTCATAGGGAATATAATATGTGAGGAAGCAACATGAAGTGTTTAGAGGCAATAACGTGAAGAAAACACCCACTCAAGAAGTACCCAAACACAAAAGAGCAAAAAGAGAAGGAACGCGGAGACAAAAAGGCCTAGCATACTCACCGCGGTCCACGCCGCGGTTGGAGTCAGTGTTCTCCGTGGTCGACGCCGCGGCCGCGGCGGCATGTTCACAGTCCAAAAATTTAAGGGGCCAAAGTGTCAATTCGGGAAAGCTTTTGTAAAACCCTNGAGTATAGACGAGAGTCATAACCGAGGGTTTAGAGATTGGATTAGAGATAACGATACCTCGGGTGCAATCTAAAAGAACGGTAATGTGAATCTAGCTAGCGTAGCTTGAGAGAGTGCGTCTAGTAAATTATCATAATTGCTTGAGAGAGATTTATGATAGCTGGAGAGTTCTTGATTGATAGAGACAACTAAGGCATCGCTATAAGAAACATACAACCAAGGAAATCACCAACGGGGGAAACCATTACCTTAGACCTTATTCCAACTGTTTACACATCAAGCATAGTTAATTTTCAGCTGTTAATTATTTTCATTTTTTAGTTGTTAGAAGTATCATCAATTGTGAATTACAAAGTTTGGGGAAATTGATTCTGTGAATTTAGTAAATCCGACAAAAGTAATTGATAGGTTAATTCTCTGTGGTTTGACTCTGGGCAGAATTACTCAGATTATATTTGCTACGTCCGTATGTGTCCTTGTATAAGGCATAGTTTGGTGTTATCAAATTTTGGCGTCGTTACCAGGAAATTAACGGTGTTATCAATTACAATTGAGAGAAGTACAAAAATTCTAAGTGTAGTCAGTTTTCTCTATACCCAATCTTTTCATTGAATTTCTAACGTTTGAACTCTTATAGAAAGCAGGTGTATGCCTAGAAGTTCTTCGAGGACTAGAGAACTGCTAGAAGGACTCTCAGACCCCGAGAAAATATTCAGGGCATTGAACCGTGCCAACAAAAGACTTTAACAATCTCAACAATCACACTAACTCGAATTTGACATGGGTGACGTAGATAACGTCAACGGAAACGTCAGGAATGAGCCAGCTAACTTAAATGTCAGAGGGGTGGCACCTCTTGTGCCCGAAGTTGCACTTTATGACTGGGCACGGCCCACAGCTGATAATCTAGCCACTGCCATAGTTGTGCCCACAATTCAAGTGGAGACATTCTAGATCACCAACAACATGCTGCATCTGCTGTAGAATAAGAGACTGTTCTCCGGGTCACAGATTGAAGACCCGCAACGACACTTGAAAAAATTTCTGTCAATTTTTATGACCCAAAGGCAGCCAAATGCGACTCTGGAAGCTATCAAGCTGCTACTGTTTCCATTCTCGGTAACCGGGGAAGCTCAGACTTGACTAAATTCGCTCCCTATCAACTCTATTACCATCTGGGAGGAATTAGTCAAGTAGTGCCTGAACAAGTTCTATCTGCCTAACAAGACTGCAAAACAGATTGATGACATATTGCAGTATAGGCAGCAACCCACTGAGTCCTTGCAAGAAATTTGGGAAAGATTTAAAGGGATGTTAGTGAAGTGTCCTCACCATGGCATTCCAGACCAGATGCTCGACCAGAGATTCTACATGGGGCTAGCTGACAATTTGAAATCAAATGTGGATACTTCAGCTGGAGGTGAATTTTTAAGTAAAACATTCACTGAGTGTAAAATCCTTCTTGATAAGATGTCACAAAATTCGGGGTGGATGACTAGAGGTACAACACTGGCACCCATAGTGCATTCAGTTCCTCTTGACCCAAATAATTCGCATGCAGAGAACATGGCCACACTCATGACCCAGATGAGCATATTGACAAAGAAGATTGATGAGATGGGTACAAAACAGGTGCACATTGTTGATACAACAAATGGGGGACTGTGTACACCTTGTATTAATCAGTCTTATGTGTGTTCATGGAGCGGAGAAGGTGAAAATCAAGGGGCAAGGGAAGATATGAATTATGTCAACAACTATGGGGGTCAGAGGCAAGGAGCACAAAAGTGGAGACCACAGCAAAATCAGCAGTACAGGCCTAATATGCAGCAGCCTGGGGGTATGCACCCTCAAAACCATTTGGTGCCAGTACCATATCAGAAACCGCAGGGCTATCCACAGCAAAATCAGCAACAATTGACATACCAACCACCCCCTCAGCAGCAAGATAACAACATAGTGGAAATCAGGGGTATGCTTCAGCAACTCATTAGGACAAATAATAAAGTGCAGGAAAAATTGGCAGTGCATGATTCAGCCATAAAGAATATTGAAACGCAGTTGGGTCAGTTGTCCATGGCTTTGAACAATCGTCCTCAGGGAACTTTGCCTGCAGACACAAACATAAACCCCAAGGACCAAAACCCGAATCAGCTGATGGCAGTAAGTCTTCAGAATGGGAGAGATTTAGACAGAGAGCAGGAAATTGCACAAGCCAGCAAGGATATTATACCAGCCACTCCAGTTCAATTAGAGGTAGAGGAACCAACAGAACTTACTGAAGTGGTGGTTGAGCAGAATCAGGAGGAAAAGGCAAAAAAAAGATGAATGAGCAAGTTGCAGAACAGGTGGCACCTCTTGTGCCAGAAAATTCTAACAGAGAGAAGCCAGCAAGCAATGTACAAAGGGTGATACCTGCACCCTTCCCTCAAAGACTGGTCAAACAAAAGAAGGCAGACCAATACAAGAAGTTCATGGAGATACTGCGTCAAATTCAGTTGAATATTCCTTTGATGGATGCCTTGAGGGAGATACCCGGTTATGCCAAGATGATGAAAGATCTAATGTCACGGAAGTTTGATTTTCAGGATCTATCCAATGTAACTCTGAAACAGACCTGCAGCGCAGTGGTGGCAAAACCGATAGCTCAAAAGGTGTCGGACCCAGGTAGCTTCACTATTCCATGCACAATTGTAAGTTATGCCTTTGCAAAGGCGTTGTGTGATTTGGGAGCCAGCATAAATCTGATGTCGCTGGCTGTGTACACCAAACTAGGCATTGGCAGAGCTAGGCCAACTTCGATGCTGCTACAGCTGGCTGACCACACAGTGAAGAGGCCCACTGGTATTCTTGATGATGTGTTGGTGCAAGTGGGGAAGTTCGTGTTCCCTGCAGACTTTGTTATCTTGGATTGTCAGGTGGATAAGAGATACCCCTTATTTTAGGGAGACTATTTTTAGCCACTGGGAGAGCACTAATCGACTGTGAGACTGGGGAATTAAAAATGAGATTGAACGATGAAGAAGTCATATTCAATGTTCAGCAATCTTTGAGGAGACCCGGTGAATATGCTAATTGCTCTCTAGTGGAGGCAGTGGATGTAATCCTACAAAAAGATGATATGACCCTAACTGTAAAAGATCCATTGGAGGCATGTCTGATGAATTTAGAAGAAATGGATGGTGAAGGGTTAGCTGAATGGGTCATGGCACTAGAAGGTTGAGGATTTTGGTCAAGGGAACCTCAGTTCGAGTCCCTTGAGCTAGAGAAAAGGGTCACTCCTCCAACAAAACCATCAATAGAGGAACTACCCAAGTTGGAACTGAAGCCACTCTCAGATCACCTCAGGTATGTGTTCTTAGGCCTTAATTCGACCTTGCATGTTATTACATCATCCGGTTTGTTGGATGTGCAGGTAGCACGGCTCTTACAGGTACTGCAAGAAAACAAGACTGCCATTGGCTGGACCATGTCAGACATAAAGGGTATTAGCCCAGCCTTCTATATGCATAAATTTCTCCTGGATGAGGGGCACAAACCTTCCAGGGAACACCAACGAAGGTTGAACCCAAACATGAAAGAGGTTGTAAAGAAAGAAGTGATCAAATGGTTAGATGCGGGAATCATATTCCCTATCTCTGATAGTAATTGGGTCAGCCCTGTCCAATGTGTGCCGAAAAAGGGGGGAATGACTGTTGTAAAAAATGAGAACAATGAGTTGATCTCAACTCGTACAGTCACAGGGTGGCGTATCTGCATGGATTACAAGAAATTGAACACAGCCACCCGGAAGGACCATTTTCCCTTACCTTTCATTGACCAAATGTTGGACAGGCTGGCTGGGCGATCGCACTTCTGTTTCTTGGATGGATATTCGGGGTACAATCAGATATCAGTAGCCCCTGAATATAGAGAGAAAACATCTTTCACATGTCCGTATGACATCTTTGCCTTTCGGAGAATGCCTTTTGTGCTTTGTAATGCACCCGCGACTTTTCAACGGTGCATGTTAGACATCTTCACAGACATGGTGGAGGATATTATGGAGGTCTTTATGGATGATTTCTCCGTGGTGGGAGATTCATTCGAAGACTGTCTTAACAACTTAAGGAGAGTGCTTAAAAGATGTGTGGAGACAAACTTAGTGCTAAACTGGGAGAAGTGCCATTTTATGGTACAAGAAGGTATAGTCCTGGGGCATCGAGTGTCCAGTAAAGGAATTGAGGTCGACCATGCTAAGGTTGACGTGATTGAGAAGCTACCACCGATCACGTCAGTCAAGGCGGTGAGAAGTTTTCTTGGACACGTTGGGTTCTACCGGCGTTTCATAAAAGATTTTTCCAAAATTGCTAACCCATTATGCAAAATCCTTGAAAAGGATCATCCCTTTGTGTTTTCTAATGATTGCAGGTTGACATTTGAGGAACTGAAGAAGAGGTTGATAACTGCACCCATCATTGTTACACCCAATTGGGAGCAGCCATTTGAGCTCATGTGTGATGCCAACGACTATGCTATAGGAACAGTCTTGGGGCAGCGAAAAGATAAGCTGATGCACTCGATTTACTACGCAAGCAGAATGCTAAGCGGTGCACAACTCAATTACACAGTGACGGAGAAGGCGATGTTGGCGGTGGTGTTTGCTTTTGACAAGTTCTGATCATATCTGATTGGTTCCAAGGTGATTGTATATACTGACTATGTAGCTCTCAGGTACCTAATTGAGAAAAAGGAGTCTAAGCCGTGCCTGATTCGTTGGGTGCTGCTGTTGCAAGAATTCGACCTCGAAATTCGTGACCGTAAGGGCACAAAAAAACAAGTCGTTGATCATCTATCGCGACTTGAAGGAGCTGAAAAATAAGTCGAGGTCGAAGAGATCCTGAAAACAGTGGGCACTAAAACAATTGAACATGGATCTCGAAGCAGCTGGACAAAATTGACTGACAGAGTTGCATGAGCTGGAAGAATTTAGATATCAAGCCTTTGAAAGCATGAGGCTCTACAAGGAAAGAATGAAGAAGATGCATGACAAGCACATTGTGGACAGAAATTTCAAACCCGGTGACAAGGTATTATTGTATAATTCAAGGCTGAGATTGTTTCCGGGTAAGTTAAAGTCCCGATAGTNTGGACAAAATCGACTGACAGAGTTGCATGAGCTGGAAGAATTTAGATATCAAGCCTTTGAAAGCATGAGGCTCTACAAGGAAAGAATGAAGAAGATGCATGACAAGCACATTGTGGACAGAAATTTCAAACCCGGTGACAAGGTATTATTGTATAATTCAAGGCTGAGATTGTTTCCGGGTAAGTTAAAGTCCCGATGGTCAGGGCCATTTAGAGTGGTGCAAATGTTTGCAAGTGGAGCTGTTGAGATTGAGTCAGAAGATGGGACAAACAAGTTCTCAGTAAATGGGCAAAGGTTGAAACATTACCTTGGAATAACTGAAGAAAAAGGGGATACAGTGGTGATCAATTTGAAAGAACCCCATTACGCGAATGAGGAGTACAGACTCAACTACTTGCGTCGTGCTGCGACGCTAAATCAGGCGCTGCGTGGGAGGCAACCCACGAATGTGTTGTAAGTGTAGTATGTAACTTCATGTTTAGAAGACAAAAAAAAATTGTCAGCCGCGACCGCGGCTGGACCGCGGGAGACACTGCCGGGCGACGAAATTCACCACGGCCGTGGCGAGGACCGCAGAAATCACTGAAGGTTTAATATTTCACCGCGGTCACGGCTCGGACCACGGGAGACACTATCTCAGACAGCGGCGTCGACCGTAGAAGGCATACCAGGTTTGCTAATTTTTTATTTTTTTTTCGTTTTCGTTCTTTTTATCCACTCTTCTTTTAATTTTAAAACACAACATAACCTTTCCCTAAATCAAAATAAACGATCCCCTCCTCCCTAAAATCTCCAATTCCCTCTCTCTCTCTCTCTCTAAACCCTAACCCTCCCCTCCATACTCTCTTCTTCTTCTTCTTCTTCCTCTTTCACAACACCCCTCATCTTCTTCCCCCCCAAGGTATGATTCCGACCCCACCTTCTCTTTTCCTTCTATTTTTTGTTGTATTATGCTAGTTAGTGTTGTTCTAATGTAGTGTTAGTGATAGGATTTTGTTTTGTTTAGTTTTTCTTCTTCTTTTTAGTGTAATTTCATTTTTAGCATATGTTTGGTGAAGGGGTTGTATTTTGACTGTGTGTAATGGTGTTGTTGGTGGGTGCTGGTTTAAAAAAACAAGTGTGGAATGTGTGGGTGTAGTGAATTGGGGAAGTTTTCTTGATTCCCTTGGGCCATGAATATGAAGAAAAATGTCTTGCCCACAATGTGTTTGTGAAATTGCCTCAATGGAGATATAAGGAGATGTTGTGACATGGTTGTGGTGAAGTCTGAGTAACCACCCATAGTCACCATTTTAGGCTCTTTCTAATACGCATTTCTCTGTTTTGACAGGCATTATGAGTTCAGCCCGTAAGAGACGAAACACCGGGTCCTCTACGAGTGGCCTAGGAGGCTCCTCACGAGCTAGGGCCCAATACAGTGCACCACGGTTTGATAGATCTCGGTTCGTCTCTGAAGAAGCAGAGGTGAGGTACAATCAGAAACTTGCCAAGAAGTTACTCTATGAAGTCCATATCGACAGGAAGGCATTGGTGAAATAATGCCCAAATATGTTTGATGAGCTACGGAGGTGTCAACGGACATCTTCTTTGAGGCTGCTGAGGAAGCCAATATTCATCTAGTGAGGGAGTTCTATGCAAACGTGCCAGAACACAAGGACAGGGTTGTGACTGTGCGCAACACCGCGGTTAATGCTTCTATAGAGGTCATCCGCAGAGTGTATCGCCTCCCCGCATTCACGGGTGATGATCATTACATCAGGGCTAGTCGCCCGATGGTTGACTGGGACAGAATTCTGGAGGTCATTTGTATACCTGGCAGACAGCCCAAATGGGTAGCACAACCGATGACTCTACCCTCTAAGTCTCTTACTTGGGAGGCCAAATGTTGGCTCACTGGCATCACCACTCGGTTGCTACCATCCAGCAATACCACCGATGTAAATGGGCCACGGGCCGCTATGGTCTACTGCTTCATGACTCACCAAGGGTTTGATGTCGCCCGAGTCCTCTCTGAAGAAATGTTCATCCGATCGCCCGAACTAAGCAAAGGCCACTACTTCCCTTCGCTTGTCACTTGTCTATGCCGCCTTGCTAAGGTTCCTGAGAACTCCCGAGTTGATGGGAAATTACCTATAAAAACCCCTTTCCAGGCGAGAAAAATTGGGCAAGAGGGAAGAGAGCCGGTACGACACAATGATGACTCGTCTGATAAGTCTGAGTCTGAGGATGATTCTGATGTTGTTGAAGCTACTGAGATCACAGCCCCTCCTAGAGGGGACGAGGTAGGATCACCACAGCCACGCCGGAGCACTCGGATGGCTGCTCTAGAGCAGGAAATGACTGGACTGCGGACCTCTGTCACTAACTTGGGGACCCGCATTGATGCTGTGGCTGACCGATAGGTGAAGTCGGAAAAAAGGTTCATGGGCTGGTTGAGAGCACTGGGTCGCGTCTGCAATGTGAACCCAAACACAGTTTCGGATCAAGAGTGACCCTTCAGGGAAGTTTTTTTACCTCACTGCTTTTTATATTGTCAAGCCGTGGGGACATGTCTTAATTTTAAGTGTGGGGTGGGGGACTTCGTTGTGTGTTGTACTTGTGAATATTATCTACTTGTTCTTGGTTTTGTTTTGTGTTAGTGACTTTAGAAATAGAGTAAGTTTTTTTTAGGAAGTTAAAATAGAAGCGACTTGTCCCGACCATGGATCTCTTTCAGCGGGGTTCTTGAGGGACCAAGTCAAGAAAAAAAAATTTGAAATATAAAGACTCTTCCTAATGACAGATTCTTTAGATAATTTTCTTGAGGGAAGCTAGTCTATAGAACACACCAAAAAGATTTTTTTTTTATATCTTAGGTAGTGTAGTAACTTCCCCTTGGTTTTTCTTTGGGCCACGGTTCTTTTCCAAGGGTTTATCTTGAACCGGGTATAGGTAGATTTTTTTTGTTTTAGGTTAGGATTAATGGGCGACGAGCTTAAAATTGAAGAAGAAAAACCCTTAGCGTTCTTACACCTGAACACGATAGATGCTAGAGTGTAGCGCTTAGCTTCAAAGGTTGAATCTTGTTTAAGTGCCTTAAAAATTGTATGTGTATACCTAACTTGAACACTCAAAAGAGAATGTTTTGATAAACAAATCCGGAGTGAGTCATGTTCCATGTGAGTATGAGTATCATTGTATTCCATGCTGTACATTTAATGCCTAGAACTTGCCCTGTGTGTTTGCAAAGTGAAATAGTAGCTTCATTCGGTTTTAGAAGTGATATAGGCATTTCTTTGTTGAGCCAGACATATAAAGTGAACCCACCTGAATGCATTACATCTTAGTTAACCCCGTTGAGCCTATAAGCCTATTTCTTTGGCAACCACAATGTGAACCTTAACCACTTGTTTGAATAGCCTGCTGTTTGAACCAATTTTCCTCCCTCTCACTAAGCACTAGATTGGTATTGAGATTGTGTAAAAACAAAAGTGTGGGGTGGTGGTTTGGTTTTTGAAGTGGAACCATGGAAATAGAGAAAAGGTGCAGAATGTGAAGTGTAAAAAGAAAAGCACCACGAAAAAAAATTGTAGTGATTAATAAGTGGTAGCTTGTACAAATTGCACCTAATGTATGGGGATGTTTAAATAAATGTGTTGGAGTGTTGGCTTACAAAATGATGATTTTTAAGTTCAACGTAATTGTATTAAAAGTGCTTAGGGAGGTTAGTCACTATATCCAAATGTATCCTACCCGTCCCTTAGCCTACATTACAACCAAATAAAGTCTTATTGATCTTAGACTGAATGGGGCTCGATTAGTCGAGTACTACACTAGGGGCAACTTATGGTGCATCTTTGTGGCATGTGAATGTTCTTTTTGGAGAGTAAGCGAATTCTTTCTATTTGAGTTCCTAATTGTTATCACTATCATTATATATATGGAACTACTCTCTTGTGTGATGTGAGGTCATGTGATTCACAAAGTAAAGGTGCATCTTGACTATTGTGTAGAGTGGTTTGAGTAAGTGCAAATGTTACAGGGTACGAAAAACTTGATTCTTGAGGTAAAAGTTGCTCACTACTAGGTGTAACTCTTGTGAAATGTTCATGGCATGAGTCGTTGAGGGAAAAGCATAGGGAATAAATTTTTATGGAGTGTGGTGAATTGCTCGAGGACTAGCAATAATTTAAGTGTGGGGTGTTGATAATAGGCTATATAGTTGTCATTTACACCATAATTGCCCATGCTTTGTTGTTGTTTTATAATGTAAGTTGCCAATAAAATGCTTTAATTAATGCTATTTGGTTTCGCAGGGAATATAAGATGTGAGGAAGCAACATGAAGTGTTTAGAGGCAATAACGTGAAGAAAACACCCACTCAAGAAGTACCCAAACACAAAAGAGCAAAAAGAGAAGGAACGCGGAGACAAAAAGGCCCAGCATACTCACCGCGGTCCACGCCGCGGTTGGAGTCAGTGTTCTCCGCGGTCGACGCCGCGGCCGCGACGGCATGTTCACAGTCCATAAATTTAAGGGGCCAAAGTGTCAATTCGGGAAAGCTTTTGTAAAACCCTTATAAGATGTAGGAAACTCGCCCAAGAGAAGAGGGGGCTTATTTTGGAGATTACTTTTGCAAGAAGACAAGTGTGAGAGATCACCCAAAACATCATAGTTCTTATTCTCTTCTATTTTTCTGGCAATTTTCCATTATGAATATTTTCGTAGTTTATTCTTACGTTGTCATGAGTAGTTAATACTTTAATCTAAGGTTTTGGTGAAACTCGTTGGGGATGACTTGGTTGTGATAGTAATATAGTTTGAATTGGTTGTTAATCTCTCTTTGTTCATCTACGTTTTGATTGTGGTTAGTTGAAAGGGCCCTCAATTATCCGTTCCTATTTATTATGTATCTTCTTGAGAGAAAGAGTGCATATTTACGTAGTTGTTTGAACAACATCACTCCCGAAGTATAGACAAGAGTCATAACCGAGGGTTTAGAGGTTGGATTAGAGATAACGATACCTCGGGTGCAATCTAAAAGAACGGTAATGTGAATCTAGTTAGCGTAGCTTGAGAGAGTGCGTCTAGTAAATTATCATAATTGTTTGAGAGAGATTTATGATAGCTGGAGAGTTCTTGATTGATAGAGACAACTAAGGCATCGCTATAAGAAACATACAACCAAGGAAATCACCAACGGGGGAAACCATTACCTTAGACCTTATTCCAACTGTTTACACATCAAGCATAGTTAATTTTCAGCTGTTAATTATTTTCATTTTTTAGTTGTTAGAAGTATCATCAATTGTGAATTACAAAGTTTGGGGAAATTGATTCTGTGAATTTAGTAAATCCGACAAAAATAATTGATAGGTTAATTCTCTGTGGTTCGACTCTGGGCAGAATTACTCAGATTATATTTGCTACGTCCGTGTGTGTCCTTGTATAATGCATAGTTTGGCGTTATCATAGCGCATGGCACTACAATGACCCATTTTTTCAGTTTGCTCTTTTTTTGCTTCAAATCGTGCACTTTAGTCTCACATTACTTCCGAATGACTCCTACACATAAAAATTCCACGAATTAGCATAAATTATTATACTACACATCCGAAATCTACGAAACATAAGTAAAATGCAAGACAATATGCATATAAATATACATAATTTAAGCCGAATATCAATATTCACTTATTAGAAGAGCTTAGTTCAGAGTTTGGGATGAATTTCGAACTCCAGCAAGCAATGTTGGAGTTTTAAATTTACAAATTCCAAACAATACTGTGTATTGAAGTTTAGCAGGTAGGGTATTTTTGAACTCAAGTATAATGTGTTGGGAGTTTCATTTGTCTAAACTTCGAAATCCAACACCGATTATTTAAGTTGTTTCGTGTTTGAATTGGAGGGTATTTTTGTCTGAAAAAGTTCTTGTGTGACAGGAGTGGCTAAATTCTAATATCTTTTTAAAAACTAACTAAGCTCTTATAACAGGAGCCTATTTTCTAAATTTCCAGTATTCCGAGGATGCCAAGGTTGAGCTAAACTAGACAATACCTTAATGTTAGGCCTACGGCAAACAAGTGGTATTAGTACAACAACAAAATATGAAACTTGTATCAGGAAAAAAATCCCATATTGTAACGGAGAAAATGTCAAGAGCCGTATTAGGCGAGATCAAATATCTAAGTGTCTAGGCACCTTTTGGGTTATATTCCAGGAGGACAAAATCGTGACACCCCAAAGGTTGAGTCAAAGCATACAATACCTTCACAGCTTAGCCTAAGTTATTAAAGTTAGTGCCTCTCCTAATATGGTTGTGCAGTAACCCTTAGCTAGAATTAGGAGTGGCAAACAGGCGAGCCGGGTCGGATATGGTCTGGATCGAAAACGGATAGTGAAAAACGAATAAATTATACGATCCAACCAATATTTAATACGGATAAAAAAACGGGTTAACCGGCGGATAATATGGGTAACCATATTATCCATGACTTCTTGTATATGATCACTTTTGGGAGAATTCTTAGTCTCCCTAACTTGAGGAACCCAAATTTGAGGTTTTACAAATGTAAAAGTTAAATCCATTAGTTATCCATTTTCTAATTGGATAATATGGTTCTTATCCATATTTGACCCGTTTTTAAAAAGTTCATTATCCAACTTATTTTTTACTGGATAATACGCGTGGTTAACTATTTTCTTTTAACCATTTTACTACCCCTAGAATGGTGAATCCCTAAGAGAGTGCATATAAGCCCACAAACCGTTGCTTCTTAATCCCGTAAGGGAATTTCCTGTGAAACTTGCCTCAAGTTAGTGACCATAAGGGGTGAGTCAAAAAATTCAATGGATGAGGTTAAATGCCAAGAGGGACAAGTGTTAGAACCCAAAGGTTGGGTGATAGCGCTGCCCCTCTGCCAGCCAAAATGCTATGCATTCACATACTCCATCTTATACCATCTTCATAAAAGGGGAAGAAAGAAAATACAGCTCTTTAAGAAATTTAAAGTTAATTTGCAATAGCTTCATACTAGTACAACCATATTACCTAGCACCTACAACTGCCTTTTGTTTTCTTCCCCCCTCTTAGGCAGATCCCATGATTTTGCTTGAAAACAAACAACGTTGCCCCTCAAATCCTAGGTCTTCCAAAAATAATCTACAATTGATGCAATGCGTGATATTCATATTCCTCAAGACATGATTCAAATAAAAATGAGAGTGTTAGTGTTTTCCTTTACAATGAATGAGGATAAAAAAATACTTCATGCAGAACTAGTGCTATCCTTAACAGTTCCGTCAAAAATCGAATATCATTTGATCTATTCAGTTATACCAAAACTGTCCATACAAACAAAGTAACAATCTCATAAGCTTAAAGTTACTGTAGGCTCTTTCCCAGCCTGGTTGCCCCTACTGTGAACTGTAGGCTCGTTCAATAATGTTGCTGAGAAGGATCATGGAAACAAGTTGGAAGATGCTTTAAGTGGTTTAGCTGCAGCATAGCACACAAATTCTGACATGAATAGGGGGAATGAAGTCAACATGATTCTGCCTCAGGTACATTTCAAGCACTGAGCAGTTATTAGGTAGACGAACGCAGTTACTGGTGTTGATCTTTGTCATAGAAAAAAGGTTACCCCAGGAATGAAGGGTTAGTTTTCAAGAATGTTGAAGCAATGAGTTGACATAAGGATGCCAAACATGACCTTAGACATTACACCTTCACTGAGCATCATCAGATCAAGTGCATGACAACAACAACAACAACAACACCCCAGTATATATAATCCCACTAGTGGGGTCTGGGGAGGGTAGTGTGTATGCAGATCTTACCCCTACCATGGGTAGAGAGGCTGTTTCCAAATAGAACTTCGGCATCCTTCCCACCAAGAACTCCCCACCTTGCTCTTGGGGTGACTCGAACTCACAACCTCTTGGTTGGAAGTGGGGGTTGCTTACCATCAGAGCAACCCCTCTTGTCTAATCAAGTGTATGACAACAAAAATCTGATTTCATATTCGAAAATATCTCAATCATAAATCTAAAGAAGAATTTTGCAGTAAGCACTCTCTACTTTATGCCACAGAAAATGAAAAGCTGATTTTTTTTAATGGCAAAAAAATTCGAGAAGAGATACTGGGGAACTACCAGCAACTTTTAGATTCCAAAAAGCCCTTGGTCAACTGGAACTTCTTGTGCATAATGAAACACCTTTTAAACGTAAGTTTACCGTCCTAGCGCATGGGGCAGTCCAACTGCAAGCCCAGTAGCTGGCCAACCAAGGTTCAAGTGCAACAGTTGCCCCATCTCTCAAGGATGCAGAGGATTCCGGAGAACAACAATCTCAAGTTCTACTGCCATTCAAGTGTGCAACAGCATTCACTTCATCCAGCAGGTATGACGACAAATGATATCGCCTTGCATTTAGTTCTTCCAGCCCTGTTGCATTTATTACCGTACAAACACTAATATCATTTCGCACCTACTTGTCATTTGGTTAAACTGACTTCATGTTCCAATGTGTCATTCAGTAATATCTACCATCTGAGCTGACACATTGGGCAAGGATGCCCCAGCTCTCCCACAACATTTCTGTTGATCTTAAAGTGTGGAAGACCATTAGGCAGATAGTTCCCTTTGTCTCTTGCTAGGCCTGACAAGCCCATCAGTTACCTGGAAATGTGAGCTTGAACAGAGCCTGAGAACATGAAAAACTAATTGTCTTCCCTCAAATGATATATTTGGAAATGATATTACAGAAAACTTTCCACGCTCATATCTGACCTTCTTTCGTCTGAAATATGTGAATGGGGATCTGAAGTTCAACAGATTAAAGATCATAGATTTACTGACAGTCTCTCTAAATCATTTCTCCATGTAAATAACATTAGTACAATCTAATCAAAGTTGTATGTAAAAGTTGCTTCAACAGATTTACTCATCACGAATAATGTCAGATGTACAGCAGCAGAAGAGGCTAGCTTAGTGGCTTTAAGAGAAGACTAACCGATACAGAGGAATATGAGCAACAAAATTGAAAAATCAGCAAGTCAAAATGCAACTTGCAAGTGGCAGTAGATCAAAGGAATATGAACCAGAGTATAGCCATTAGTAGATTTAAAAAAAGTAAAACAACAAAAAAAAAAAACCTAGAGGTACTTCAAACAAGTTACCTAGTTCCAGATGGATGGGTTTCTAAACTGAGATGACATTGCCTCTAGTAGAAACTTGACGAGGTTTCCACTCTCCACTTCTTTTTCCTTCTTGAGCTCAAGATGTCGGACCTGGTCACATATCAGTAGGAAGAACAAATCATTTTGGAGGTGGAAACATAAGCTATAAAGGTTACCCAGAACAGATTTTGTGAAAATTTATTTGCCTCCACAAGGCAAAGTAGTGCCTTCTCCAAATAGACAGTCAATTCCAACATGAAATGATTTTCAAAAACTTCATTATAGTGCTAAATCTTAAGCAACTAAGTAGAAGATAATAGGGAGTTCCACAATATTCCATTATTTAGAATGTCATTTCACAAGAAACATCCTTACATTCTGTAGCAATATCAGCAAATGGGTCAAAGATAATCAAATGACATGTGGAGAATATTTCATCTCAGTAGACATGATGACATCACAGAACAAATAATTCTCCTAAATGTGTAAAGATCATAAAGTGCTAAGAGATCTTGAACAGTAATTTTCCGTCAAATAACAGTATGTCCCCTAGGATAAGTTCTATCTCCGATGCATCATTTTTTTCACAACAGCTCCATATCTGAATATCCTCAGTCCTTGTGTGAGACAACCATAGAAGAGAGAAGTATAATCAATAATGGAATTGCATTGTGTTGTTACAAGGAGGCATTCACCAAAAGATTGCATTTGGGTGTCTCAAAACTTAATAAAGAACATGAAATGAGAAAGCAGTGTGAACATGTAATAAATGTCGTCCTACCTTCACTGAGTCCTTTTGGGATACACAAGTGTCAGTGATGATGACAAGGCATTTAATGTCATGCTCATTAGCATATTCATACTGTTCCGTGAGGCTTGGATCGCATAGAGGAACAAATTCAGCCTGTGGAATGTTCAAAACTTAGTTCAGATACTAAACACATTCAAGCGAAGAGTGTGGTAATTGAACAGCTAACCCTGATATTTTCCTCCCAAAGCTCTGCCAATAGTTCCATCCGCTCTATTAATAGACCACCCCCTCCTCTTGAACAAACAAGAACATTAGTGACAACATCATATCTGCATGTTTATTACTTTAACTTTAGGTAAATGATAGGACGGTGAGCAAGTAGGAATCTATATATAATAAAAGGAGAAGCAAAGCCACCATATTAAGCCAAGTGGCATAACCATAAGATAACAAATGTAAATTTTTAGGACAAAGCTCCAAAAAAGTTGGAGTTTTAAAATTATTTATAATAAAAAAAAATAAAAAACTACCAATTCAAATTGGGAAGTAGTTTCAAGTTGGATTTTTAAAATTATTTTACAATAAAAAACGAAATTAAGAAAAAATAAAAAACGACCAATTTAAATTGGGGAATAGTTATAAGTAAAATAATCTATATATAATAAAAGGAGAAGCAAAGCCACCATATTAAGCCAAGTGGCATAACCATAAGATAACAAATGTAAATTTTTAGGACAAAGCTCCAAAAGTTGGAGTTTTAAAATTATTTATAATAAAAAAAATAAAAAACTACCAATTCAAATTGGGAAGTAGTTTCAAGTTGGATTTTTAAAATTATTTTACAATAAAAAACGAAATTAAGAAAAAATAAAAAACGACCAATTTAAATTGGGGAATTGTAACGACCCGACTTGTCGTTTTAAGAATTAACGCCTCGTTCAACGACTTAAGATCTCGACCAGCTTCGTAATATGTATTATGACTCGCATGTGAGGTCGAGTTTGGTTTTCGGAAGATTCGGAGTTAAATATAAAGAATATTTTGAGGCTTAAGTTGGAAAAGTCAACCGGATGTTGACTTATGTGTTAGAGGGTTCGGATGTGAGTTCTGATGGTTCGGTTAGCTTCGGGAGGTGATTTGTGACTTAGGAGAGTGATCGGAAGTGGTTTTGGAGGTACGGTGTAAAATTAGGCTTGAATTGGCGAAGTTAGTATTTTGGCGAATTCTGGTTGATAGGTGAGATTTTGATCCGAGGGACGGAATGGAATTTCGAGAGTTGTTGTAGCTTCGTTAAGTGATTTGGGATATGTGTGCAAAATTTCAGGTCATTCGGGCGTGATTTGGTTGGGTTTTTGATCGAATGCGTGTTTTGGAAGTTTTAGAACTTAGGCTCGAATTTGAGGTAATTTGATGGTTTTTGGTGTTGTTGAAGTGTTTTGATGATTGGAACGAGGTTGAAAAATGTTTTAGGATGCGTTGGTGCTTTTGGTTGCGGTCCCGGGGGCCTCGGGTGTGGTTCGGGTGAGTTTTGAGCGAGTACGGACACCCCGGAACTTAGAAAATGGAGGGGGCAGCAGTTGTGGCGCGGACCGCGCTCCTTTTCGCGCTGGGCGTGCTGGCCTAGCGCTGACCGCGTCAAAATGGGCGCGGCCGCGGTCACTGAAGACTGCAGGTTACTGGTCCTACTTCGGAAGCTCATAACTTTTGATCCACAAGGAATTTTGAGGTGATTCAAAACGAAAGTTGTAGCCCTTTGTGTCTAGTTTCCAGAAAGGTAAAGACATCGCAATTTGGACATCTGTAGCAAAAGTTATGGCCAAAATACTAAAGCCTGTCCCTGCAGAGCAAGACTTGCACGGCCGCGGTCCTTTTTGCGCGGACCCCGCTGGTTTTGCGCGGACCCCGCTGGTTTTGCGCGGACCGCGGTCATTTTTGTGCGGTCAGCGGTGTCGGAATCCGAGGGGTACTCTATAAATACGAGGTTTAGGGTTTTTATTTGATATTTTGACCTAGAGAGCTCGAATTTTGGCGATCTTTCGAAGGTTTTTCAAGAAATTGGTCGGGGTAAGTGATTCTAACTCAGATTTGGTTAGAGTACATGAATTTATCACTGAATTCATCATTTAATTCGTGATTTGAGATGGAATTTGGGAAGAAAATTGTGGAACCTTTCAAAAATGTAAAATGATGATTTGAAGGACCAAATGGTATC